GGGCGCCCCGGGGGGGCGGGCCGGGGGGAGGGACGAACCCCGCTATCGTCGGCTCCCATTCACAGCTACTTAACAAGCGCTGTCTGGAAACTCATCTTGCGAGGGAGCTGTGCCCAAAGCGCCTATATGCCGGGTTTTTTTAGTCCCTCTCAAAAGAAAATTAGTTGACTGCAGTGTCTCAGCTCTTTTTGAGAATAAGGGGGTGGCTCTTAAAAGAGCCTTTGGGTTTATTTAAATGAGTAGACTCTATAATTTTTCTAAGTCGTTTTACTTCTTCTTGGGCGCCGCCTTTTTCGCTTTGGCTGCTTTGGGCTTGGTCGCCTTGGGCTTGGCAGCCTTGGGCTTCACCGCTTTCGCCTTGGCCGGGCTCTTCGCTGCCTTCTTGGGGCGCCCAGCCTTGGCTGCCTTCTTGGGGCTCTTGGCTGCTTTCTTGGCCGCGGCAGCCGCCGGCTTCTTCGCCTTCTTGGGGCTCTTCTTCACCGCCGCCGCCTTCTTGGGCTTCTTGGCGGCGCTCGCGGGCTTCTTGGCCGCCGCCTTCTTGGGCTTGGCTGCCGCCGCCGCGCGTTTCTTCGGCGCTTTCTCTTTGGTCTCGCCGGGCTTCTTGTTTAGCCGGAAAGAGCCGGAGGCGCCGGTGCCCTTAGTCTGCACCAGGGTGCCCTTGCTGACGAGGCTCTTGAGCCCCAGCTTGATGCGGCTGTGCGGGCTTTGGAGCCGCCCGCCGCCTTCTTGGGCTTCTTGGCGGCGCCCTTGGCGCTGGGGCCGGACACGGCGGGAGCGGCAACAGGCGCGGTCTCCGACATGGTGCGAGCGTCGTCCACAAACCAGGGGAAAACACTGGGCCTGGAGCAACTCGGCGGCCTCGTATTTATAGAGACGAGACGCGCGCTGATTGGTGCCTTGCAGAGCCCGCCCCGCCGCACGGCAGAGAGGTCCCTTCTCCCTGCTCATTTTGTGTTTCTTAGGAGCCGAAAAAGCGCCTTTTTCTCAGAATTCCTGCCACGGAATCACCCCAACTCGCAGCGGCGGGGGAAGGGGAGGCTGCTTTTCCGCTCGGCGGAGTTCCCCCCCGGAGAGGCCAACGGTGAGTTAAAAAAGAGCCGATAAACCCCGAGTCCTGGACCTGGAGAGACCTCGAGAGACAGAAACTTTTGTTTTTCCTTCTAAATAAAATCTTCGGCGTGGACAACTAAATCTCCACACCAGCTAATTACTATTCTTTAAAGGGTCTTCTCTCAATCTGAACTGAAAAACAAGGATTTGAACAGATATTTTATTGGCAATTTGATTTCAAAGAGAAGGAAGTAACACAGGCTCATCTTGAGCACTGAATATGGATTAGAAATTAGCTTCTTTGTCCAAAATCCTTTATCCCTTTAAAAATAATTAAAATAAACTAAATTACTGCATTATGTTACAGGGCAGAAAGCAGATTAACGACCTGTGAAGGACTGCTTTTGTCCCAAAAGGAGTTGACTTTTTAAAGTCCAACAGTTAGCACTAGGTTGCTCTGGGTGCACAATAGAGACATGGTTACCTATTGATGTCTTACAGAATCATTAATTATGTTAACATATTAGGTCATGTCAGAATTTCACACCGTTTTCACTACAGACTATAATCAATACTCTAACACTTTATTTTAGCAATGTTTTTATTTTGATCCTGTTCCATAGGTGGAAATCTGAGTCATCCTTATCTAAGGAGACACTGCTGTAAATGACCTCCTGTGCATTTACACCGTAAAACTTTTTTTAAAAAGTTATAATTTACATTTTCTCTTTACAGTAAAATGCTAAATGTCATATTTATACTGTTCTGTGATTGATTCCTGCATGAGAAGTATGATTTAAAGTGGCATGTTTATCTGTAAAGTGTCTTTTATTCTAAGATGAACTGGCTGCTAGAAAGAGGAAAAGCCTTCCCATACACTTTATGAGGATCGCATTTAAAACTGCATGTATTTTATTTCTAATATGATGGACAACTAAAATAGCTAAAAATATTATTTTCTGATTCTTTATTTTTGTCTTTAAATATATATATATATATATGTATATATAAAGGCCAGATGAAAACTGTTCTTTTCCTCTTGTTACTGTTAGTGGTATTGCAATCTCATGTTCATTTTCAAGAATTATTCAAAAGTGCTTATTGTCCTATAACTACCGATCTTCATGCCTATTTTAGCATATTTGTTATTATTTTCAGTGCCATATATAGTATTGAATCAAAACTGCCAACAGCCCCTTTTACCTTAAACTGATGTCAAGACATCAAAAGTTATTATCAAGTTTATGTGAACTCCAGAGAGAATTATTATTTTTAATAGCTGACTCATTGCTTTGAGTTAATGCTTCTGAATGACCACCAATATCAGGAAAAATGACAACATCCCAAACTTGGAATTTCTTTAGAGGGGGCACAGAGTTGTTTTGAAGATCGTTAATGATCCCTTTCTCTTTGCCATAAGACTAAGCTAAAAGAGGAAAGGATGGCTGGAGAGAGAGTGCTTTCTTGCAGCGATATTTAACACTTTCTCAGTTCTACTGGAGCAAAGCAATTCCTTAAACTTTTTTGTTTTGGTTTGGTTTTAGTTGTTTTGTTTTGTTTTTGTTTTTCCTAGTGTGTGTTCCACAAAGATTAACACGTTTAATTTTCTGTCAGTTTCAGAATTCTCTTTATGGCTCACTTTTGTTGCTTGTAAGTCAGACACACTACCCAACTTTTGACAGTAAAACCTAAAATAAATATGCATTTTAAGTTCCACAGCTCCTTTTATGATAAAATGGGTGGCTCTAAAAAGAGCCTTTGGGTTGCTTTTGACGTGGAAGCGCTCCCTCTGCTCTATTTACTCTTGGCCTTGTGGCTCTCAGTCTTCTTGGGCAGCAGCACGGCCTGGATGTTGGGCAGCACGCCGCCCTGCGCGATGGTCACCTTGCCCAGCAGCTTGTTGAGCTCCTCGTCGTTGCGGATGGCCAGCTGCAGGTGGCGCGGGATGATGCGCGTCTTCTTGTTGTCGCGCGCCGCGTTGCCCGCCAGCTCCAGGATCTCGGCCGTCAGGTACTCCAGCACGGCCGCCAGGTACACGGGCGCGCCGGCGCCCACGCGCTCCGCGTAGTTGCCCTTGCGCAGCAGCCGGTGCACGCGGCCCACGGGGAACTGCAGCCCGGCCCGCGACGAGCGCGACTTGGCCTTGGCGCGCGCCTTCCCGCCCTGCTTCCCGCGGCCGGACATGTCGATTCTTTCCCTGCGAATGGAAAAAGCGGAGGAACGAAATTGTCGTCGCAGCCCAGCCTTATATCCCCTCCCAGAGAAACGGACGAGCGTCGATAGGCTGAGCAGCTGGCATTGCCAAAGCAGCCCATGGGAAGGGGCCGAGGATCCCAACGGCAGCCACGGCCCCGGCGCCATCTTGGGGGAGGGAGGGTGCGCGGGCCCTTGAGGGGGACGAGGGCGCCTTTGCCAAAGCCGCTTCCATCGTTCTGGAAACAAAACGACCCAACCCACCGGCTGCACCTAACGCTTCTGCAATTCTAGTATAATATATATATATACATATATATATAGAGAGAGTATATATATACATATATATATAAAAGGATATACACCACCCCCCCCATATATATATATAAAGAAAATATTCTACTTAATGTGAGCAAGGTACCAGACTTGCTTCTTGTGTTCCAGGAAACAAACCACTGAAACAGTGCTCTATTCAAGCTAATGTTATTGTCAAGGCTGTTCAGTAAAGCACTAGAAGTACAGGCCATGGTGCTTTTGCTTCATGCAATTCAGGATGTCTCTTATAGGCTGGTACTGTTTCCTGAACAAAGAGATTCTTGTTCATTTTTTTTTTTCTCTTTGCCTTTATTCTGCTTTGGGTGGTTTCTCTGTTCCCTAACATCCTCTTTCTTTGATCTATTTCCAGCAAGGACAGACGTTATCCTTTTCTAAGCCAATGAACAACTTCACGCTCTGAAATTAGCCACATCCTTCAGCCGTAACCATTGGAGAGGGGGAAAAAAAAGGTTACAATAACAGGATTTTTTAAAAAAACTGTTCGGGGTATTTCAACAGGAGGATCATGAACAAAGCAAAAGACCTCTGCAACACAAACACAAGTTACTGACACAAGTTGTTTATTTCTGGTCAAACAAGATCAGCTCTCTGTTCTGAAAATTTTGATAATCTTTAGGAAACATCTTTCATCTGCAGCATCATTCAGTGGATTATACCAAACCAACTAACCTTGGGAGTCCTCTTTATCAGTCATTGGACGGAAATGGAAATATTGTAGGCAACTTGCATTGCTCTCCTTGCCCCCAGCCTATGTCCACCGTGCTCATTACCCCTACTGTAAAGAGCACCCAGAGCCACAGATGAAAGACGCCACCACAAAATCCAGGCAGTATTTAAGAGAAGAATCCAAAGCTCTGTACGAGCACCACAAAAATGAGACACAAGCAACTAACAAATTGGCACAGCTGTATCTGTAAGATATATATTCCTTAATGCAGCTGACAAAGAGCAAGAGTGAAACAAAGCAGACAAACTAGACTATTTTTTGTTGTTGCCAGTTATCTGGAGTTAAGAGAAGACATCATAACAGGAGAATATCCATAACCAGTGCAATCGTGATATAAATATATAGTTTCAAAAGCCTTTGAGCTTCAGACAAAAGCTGTTTAAAAATGCTTTCTATTTTTTAAATATGTTTGAATACTAGAAAATTCATTCTTCTCCTATGAATAAACTAACAGTAGAAATATATATGTATTTCACACACTTTCTTATTAAATCATTTCCTGACTGGTCTCAGGATTCTGAATCCCAGAGCAGTAGAGGCATTTCCCATACTCTCTTGATAGAACTACAAGTTCAAAACCTTATTTAATTCAGCAAATGATG